AGAGTGGCCTTTTCAAGTTATTTATTTGGCCTGTTTTAAATCTGGAGATGTTTAAAAGAGTGCAGTAGTGTTCCTGTGTTGGCAAAAAAATCAACATTCTACAGGGCAATGCTAGAATGGGGATAGCCCAAAGAAAAAATCAAGACTTTGAAACTGGACTTCAGATCAGGACCAAATTGCCCTATACCAAATTTAGGGAAATTTGGGCAAACAGTTTTTGAGTCACAGTTTTTCAAACATAAAACTGTTCCCCCTGTGCAGAAACAAGCAACTTTTAAACATATCCAGATTTGACAGTTTTTCAAACATAAAACTGTTCCCCCAGTGCAGAAAAAGCAACTTTTAAACATACCCAGATTTTTAAAAGGCCAGATAAATAACTTGAAAAGACCAATCTTCTTCATCTTGAAACAGAATGGTTCTTCTTAACTCTTTTTTTTAATTTGAAGGAACTAAATATTTCAGCAGGGACTGAAATAATAATCTTCAAAAAAAATGATTAACCCTAAAAAAACACTTTGTTATAAATTGAGCATGCTTGGACAGTCTTACCATTAAGAACATTCCAAAATTGATATAGTGTTGCAGCTTCAGGAGTCTGGAATGGACCATTCACACTTGTCAAAAAATAGCTTTGACAGTTGCTTTGTATTTGGGTGACAAGTAGAGATAGGGGTACTGTGTTCATATATGAATATCCTTGCACAGCTGGAGTTAACTCACATGTCCGTCCACTCATGCGTCTGCCAGCAGTGGCGGCCCCCCTCTTCCAATCTCTCTGGAGCGCCTGGTAGGCTAGCCACTCCTAGTAGAAGGAGGGAAGAAGAATCTCCCTGCAAGGCTCACGAGTGGCTAGCTGACTGCGTGCTCTGGAGTGATTGGAAGGAAGAGTGGGGCAAGCAGCGGATGCGTGAGTGGATGGTCCGGCCACAGGGAGCTGGACCCTCGCTAACTCCAGCTGTGCAGGGATATTTGTATACAAATACCTCCCTCCCTAGTGACAAGTGCTTAACTGATGAAGAAAAGGAGTTAGGATTTTCCTTGTCTGGCATTAGTTTTGGAATGGCAGTGAATTCAGGAGGGTATTCTGTGGCCCAGTACCAGTCTGTGGCCATGGCAGGACCAGGCTGCGGAGATAGATCTCCCGCCCCCCTGCATGCACTCCCCCTAAGTACCCCACATGCACGCATGACCTGCCCACCTGCATGCATGGGTGTCCCACCCACCTGTGAGCATGCCCCGCCCATCCATGCATGTGCGCAAACACATCCTGCCCACCTGTGAGTGCGCCCCACCCACCAGTGCATGTGAGCGAGCGCACGCTGCTCATGCTTGTGAAAGCACCCTGCCCATCTGTGAGGGTGGGGGTGCCCCACCCCCCCAACCAATGCACAATTCAGAAAAGATTGGAGACCACTGCTGTAGATCATTTTGAGTGGTGCCGTTGGTATTGTCAGCATTTAGACTGCCTTTTTGCTATGTAAAACCTGGCATACTTGTTCTTACTGGCAACATGTGCATGATATTGTGTAGGATCGGGTCTTTCCTGGTGTTTTGAATCATGGGTACAGAAGCACAATATCCCACATTCATGAACTTGAGGTTTTTTTGAAGAATTGAATTTCCTGTCTTTTTAAAACAATTTAAATACAGTGGTGCTCCGCAAGACGGGCGCTCCGTTTAACGACGAAACCGCTTGACGTCAATGTTTTTGCGATCACAAAACAATGTTCCCTATGGGGGAATTTCGTTTTGCGATGATCGGTTCCCTGCTTAGGGAACTGATTCTCGCAAAGCGATGATACTTAACAGCTGATCGGCGGTTTCAGAATGGCCGCCCGCTGTTTTCTGGGACGGATTCCTCGCTGCACAGGCAGCGAAAATGGCCGCGCTATGGAGGATCTTCGCTGGACGGTGAGTTTCCAGCCCATAGAAACGCATTAACCGGGTTTTAATGCGTTTCTATGGACTTTTAAAAATCGCTTTGGAATATTTCATTCTACAGCGATTTCGCTGGAACGAATTAATGCCGTAATGCGAGACACCACTGTATATATACATTACACACAGATTCCAACAAAAAACTTCCTTTGTTTTTTAAAGTCTAATGAGATTGTAATTTTAGGTTTAAATTGTCTGTGGGTCAAAGATCTCATTATGGAATGTAGTCATATGCCAATAAGTAATTTCCTAAGTAAGACAACATTCTAAATTAGTGACTTTCAAAACATTATTAGTAGTAACCCGCTCAACTCTTAGACTGAAGACTATAGCTTCCTTTGTTGAATTAATCTGTCTCTTAGTTGGCCTTCCTCTTTCCCTACTATCTTTAATTTTTCTCACCATTATTGCTTTTTCCAGTGACTATTCTCATGGTATGGCCAGGTATGATAGCTTCAATTTAGTCATTTTCGCTTCTGAAAAAAGGGTTCAGGCTTGATTTGTTCTAGAAACTTCTTTATATGTCTTTATATTGATCCGGCACCACATTTCAAATGAATGACTTTTCTTCACTTACCAGATTTCACATGTGTACATAGCAGTTGTGAATATGGTAGCATATATGATCTTGCATTAGTTCCCAGTGACATTTGGGATATTTTCTAGTTCCTTCATAGTTGCCTGTCTGAGCCATAGTCCTCAGAGATTTGGCTTTAATGTATGCTTTTAGTCAGACTTAGATTTTAGAGGAACTGGATAGGGTTTACCTATGCTACTGTTCTCTGTCTTATGTGTGAAATATTAATAATTGGTCTAGTTGCCATCTATTAGAAGGGTGCAGACGAAAACAAAGGCATTGAAACTCTGAGTGCATGCTGAGTGTTATTGCTCTATGGCAGTAACATTTATAAGCCCAGAAGATCCCATGCTTCATACATGTTTATCAAAGCCTTCCACATATGTGCCTGGCTATAGAATAATTTTTCCTAAACCTCTATCTAAATGGTTTAAATACAGAATATATATTTCCTTTATTTAAAGCAAATAATAAAATAAAAATAACCTAAATCCATTTGAATTCTCAGAGACCAGAATCATATTGGTGTTGAGGTAAGATTTACATAACTTGCTGTGAGTAATTGTGGTTAGTCGACAAGGGATTAGAGTCCATCTGTCATGCACTTAGTTGCACAATTGAGATGTGCCCCAGTACCTTGTCAATTAGCTGCAATTAGCTGCACCAAATTAATCCCATTTTTAAATGCTATGCTTACTTTCAAAAACAAGACTTTGTAAAATCTTTGTTCTTTGAGGTTTGGTCTAATAGGAATTGTTATTTAATTTTTCCCATTTATTCATATGTAATAGTAAAGATATTTTGAAATATATATGTAGTAAGGATAAATGCTTTAATACAGTAAAGCCTTGTATGTTAACATTTTTCTTGTACTGTATGTTTTTTATCCTCTGATCAACCTTGATACATTTTTCCTTTCCCAGTAGACGTGTTCCAGAGGGGCGGGGTAAAAATCCAATCAATCAATCAATCAATCAATAAAATAAAATAAAATAAAATAAAATAAAATATAAGAGTTGTGGTAGAATATTTTAAAATGTATATAGGAAAGGAAAAATGTATCAAGGTTGATCAGAGGATAAACATACAAGAAAAAATGTTAACATATAAGGTTTGGGACATAATTACTTGTCAGAGCACCTCCCCCTAAGTCCGTCTGCCTGTGGTACGTGCTCCTCCAATGCTCTGATGCTGCAGGTTGCCACTCCATGGGAGCTTTAGTAATCTATGGCTAGGAACTGGGCCTTCTCAGTGGTGGCTGCTTCTTGATGGAACACCCTGCCTGGGGAGGTGCGCCAGGCCCTTTCCTTCCTAGTATTTTGAAAACTAATAAAAACGTACTGATACAGAGAAGCTTTCCAGGATATGCTCAGCTCATGACAACCTATTATGATTATGTTATTCTTAATGTTGGTTCAATTGCTGTCACTGCTGGACTTTTTTGGTCATTGTTTTGACTATATGTTATGGGTGGGTGGGTGGTAATGAAAAATTATCCCTGGTTATGGGATTGCTGAACATAGCCAGACAAAACCAAATAGATCACACTGGAATATAAAATTAGTCTTTAAGGTGCCACTATACTTTTGCCCTTTCTTTTAGATTTTGTTTTGGATTTGGCTAGCTATGTTCAGAAATTCCCATGCCTTTCATGTGAAATAATCACATCACAGCTATGGTACAATTCTGGCTTTTTTCCTGGCCTTTTAAAGGATGTGATTCACAAAAAGTAGCATTGTACAAATACAGTCAAATTATTTCTTTAGTTTTATTAAGAAGAGATGAATGATTGGCTGGAGAACTTTAGTAAGCATTTGGTGAAGGGTTCTTTGCATTGGTTGAATGAGCTGAAATACCATCCAATAATAAGAAAACAGTCTGTACTAAACTTGTGTTTACATTTATAAATGTTCATTGACTCTCAGTTGGAATTTTGTAATATTTATACAAAGGTTCAGATAATAAGAAATTTTGCAAATATTTTCTTTTTGTGTGATGTATGAAATATTTAGAGAATTTCAGTGTCATATGCCGTGGTAAAACTTACATACAACATCAGCTTTGATTGCCACCTAATCAATCTCATAGAATAGAAGTATACATATGAGATTTCTAGAGTGGCCAGATGAACAATACATATGTAATAATATGTGTATATTCTGTTTGTTCCTTAAAAGGGATACTGTTGCATAAATACCATAGTTCTAAATCTTCAGCAAAAAAATAGAAAAACTTGATAAAGTGGTATGTGTTAAGCTATGAAGATTGTATTGCTAAGCAAAATTCAATAGCAAAAAGAAACAACTGTTCTGCTACTTAAATCTGTTTGATATGGATGCCAAGTTGAAATACAATCATAGGTATTGGGATACAATAAAATAATATGAGAATTCTTGAATGCAGCTGTTTTGGAACACTTGCAGTGTTGTAAATTAAACCTTATCCAGTGGTTTAATATGTAATTATTTTTAATCCCTAATAGGTGCCATACTAGGCAGATCAGAGACACAGGAGTGCATCTTCTACAATGCTAATTGGGAAAATGATAAAACAAATCGCAGTGGCATCGAATCGTGTTATGGTGATAAAGATAAAAGACGACATTGTTTTGCTACATGGAAGAACACGTCTGGATCTATTGAAATTGTGAAAAAGGGTTGCTGGCTGGACGATATTAACTGTTACGACAGGCAAGCAAATTATTAGTATTCTTGCATTTGAGAGAGTGAGTTTTTGTGTTTGAAAAATAATGGTTTGACAGTGTAAAACATAGTTTAGTACGTGTAATCTGATGGATTGTGTTCATGATTACATGTTCTTACAGTTTCATGGTTATTGTGTCTTGATCCCACTGAGGCTTGTAGCAGAATGCATGTTCCATTCTTTGAGTGTAATTATATAAACATTTGTAAATCTCATGTAGCTCATTGGGTAGCTAACTGAGGAGGAGAACCTGGTTGGAAGTTCGTTTCCCCACTGCAGTTTTTGGCAGACAAGCCAGCCTGTGTGGCTTTGGGCAAGATACACAATCCTAGACCACTGCAGAAGAAAGGACTGTGAAGTCACTTTATACATAGGAAATCCTGAGAAGATTGCGATAAGTCAGCACACATTTATTAACTGAGTATCATATGTAACCTTGGGTGGATGTTTGAATGTACATTCTTACAGAATTCATTGTGGGCCCTCGACTTATGAACTTAATCCATTCTGGGAAGACATTCGTACCTCGGAAAGTTCATAAGTCGACCTACCACTTCCTATTGAAATGCATGGGAACAGAATTAATCCGTTCCAGCATTTCCAAAAAATACAAAAGAGCAAGTCCCTTATTGGGACTGCAAAAAAATAAAAATAAAAAACCACACATACAAAAACCCAGCGCGAAGGGGACTCACCATCAGGTGGAAGGAGGGAGCCGATTTCTCCCCGGCCGGCCGGCTTGCTTCCGAAGCCAAAAAGGCAGGGAGAAAGCGCAGGAAGTTCGAACTTCCCGCACTTTCTTCCTGCCTGCTTGTCTTCAGAGGTTTCAGAAGGCTTCCCCACTTTCTTCCTGCCTGCTTGTCTTCAGAGATTTCACCCGCAAGCCTTTTGAAAGCTCCAAAGGCAGGGAGGAAGGGCAGGAAATTTGAATTTCCCGCCCTTTCTCCCTGCCTTTTGGGTTTGTAACCTGATCCACGTTTGCAAGTAGGGTTTACTACTTGTGATGAGATCGGGTTCGTAACCCAAAAAGTTTGCAACTAGGGCCGTTCGTAAGTCGAGGGCCCACTGTATGTTTGAAATGTGAAGTCTCCATTCTCTGACTTGTGTGCAGTGGTGCCTCGCTTAGCGATCGCTCCGTTGAGCGATGAAATTGCTTAGCGATGGGGTTTTGGCCATCGCCAGAGCAATCGCATAGCGATGGCCCCTATGGGGAAAAATCGCTTTGCGATGATCACGGGGAAGCGATCATGGCAAAGCGACCCTTTTTGCACAGCTGACCGGCGGTTCCAAAATGGCCGCCGGAAAAACAAAATGGCCGCCCACTGTTTTGCCTCGGTTTAGAGGCACTGAAAATGGCCGCCCCTATGGAGGATCTTTGTATAAGGTCAGTTTTTCAGCCCATAGGAACACATTAAACACGTTTTAATGCGTTTCTATGGGCTTTTTAAAATCGCTTAGCGATTAAATCGCATAGCAATGTTTTTCCTGGAACGGATTAACATCACTAAGCGAGGCACCACTGTATTTCTTTCCATAGTACATGAACCCAAGAAAATTGTGCACAGTTCTTATTGACTAGCATGACCCTTTTATCTCCACAGTAGACTTTACTGCCTTTAAAAGTGGATTATGCTTTTGTTTTCACTTAAAATAATTAGTGAGTGTCTAATTGAGAAGAAACACATGTGGCAATACATTATCTTTTCATTTTTAAAGGCAGATCGTTTGTAGGCATTGGATTTTCTGATGTTCTGTACTACAAATCATTTAGTTCTCCATTCTGGGTGTTTCATTATACAGGCCTAGACCTACTTACACCTAAATGTGGGTTCCTTGGAGAAATGTGGTTCGCTGTTAGCAGGGAGCTTCTTTTCTACACAGAGAGCTAGGGCAAACTAGGATTGTTTAGTGAGTGTCTAATTGAGAAGAAACACATGTGGCAATACATTATCTTTTCATTTTTAAAGGCAGATCATTTGTAGGCATTGGATTTTCTGATGTTCTGTACTACAAATCATTTAGTTCTCCATTCTGGGTGTTTCATTATACAGGCCTAGACCTACTTACACCTAAATGTGGGTTCCTTGGAGAAATGTGGTTCACTGTTAGCAGGGAGCTTCTTTTCTACACAGAGAGCTAGGGCAAACTATGCCTCAAAGCTTTCCTAGCCTGTTTTCCAGGTGAGCCACATTTAGGTGTGGGTGTGTTTGGTGGAACATCCAAAATTGAGAATTATGCAGTTTTTAATTCCCCCAAAATCAGAAAAATCCATGCCTCATGGCTAGTATGAACCATGGTTATATGGTAGTGAGAAAACCGAATTAAGTGTAGTTGATGCATCTCTCTGTCTCCATGGGGCATCTTTCAGAGGGATAGTAATCTGTTTCAGCCAAAATAATGAACATGTGATAATGTATTCATGAACATTTGACCTGTTAAGCTTACGTTACAGAAGTATGTTTGTTTTCAGAGTGCTGCAGAGTTCATTGCTTTCCATTGGACAAATAGCTACATTAATTTTATGGTGTATATTTGTATGCAACCTTAAGTGTCAGAATGCTGCATTCATGTTTGGTTGACAGATAAACTACTTATTTCTCATATTTTTTTATCATACTGAACAGGTTACAGAAATTAGGCACTTTTCTTTGTTTTTAAGCAAAGCTATTTTGCAAAGGCATCCCACTAGCAAATATGTCAAACAATGTTTATATCATTGTAAAATGAGACAACGATTTTAATCCCTTACAGATCAGAATGCATAGAACGGAAAGACAGTCCTGAAGTTTTTTTCTGCTGCTGTGAAGGCAACATGTGCAATGACCATTTTTTCTACTTTCCAGAAATGGAGGTCACACAGCGTAAGTTGTTTAGTTTTTCTAAAGTGTTAGCTAAAGGTATATTTTTTTTGTTTATTCAGGAAGGATGGTCTTCTGTCATGTTTACTTGATGACTCCCTTCCTTTGGAGAAAGGTGGCCTAGAAATGGTGCAAAATAGGTTGATTGATCAATTGAACAATAGGTAGTGCTATGAGACATTCTGCTAGTAAAACAACTTATAAACATTTATTTGCAATTTCAGAAAGGTTTAGTCTATATCTTAAATGTTTCAAAACTAACATTAAATCTAACAAGAATAATCAAACACTGATAGCCATGTGCTTCTTGATGAAGGTTTCTGTTTATCAGTTTTTAGTTCATAAAATTCTCTTTACCTTCTTTCTGGTTATTAATCACAGTGAAGTGAGAGTGATACAGTACCACTGTTTTGATATAATCCTAAAACATACTTTGTTCAACAAACTGTCCCATGAGCAGTTTGGTATGCTCCATCTTTACTCTCCCATAAAATCTTCAAGAAAATGTTGTGGTTAAAGTATGGATTATTGAAACAGACAAGAATCAAAGTATGGTTTACAACAAACTATAGTTTAAAGTTTTAAACAGCCTTCCCAGTTCAGATCTGAGTCTGTATGGTTTAACCCTTGAAATAGATACACCTAGTCTCCTGGTAGATATTCTGGGAACATGTCAGGGGAAGTGTGCAAGACTAAGGCTTACTACAGTAGCACTAGATTTTGGTTTAGCATTATGTGAAGTTAAAATTTTAAAACATCTAGTCCAAAACTCTTTTATGGAAAACAATATGCACAAACACCTTTTTGTACTTCATGCAGTCAGCTGAGCAACTGGGAACAACCAAATATGTGATGTCAAAATTCCTTCTGTTTCTTGTAAAATTGCCGTTTTGTGCTTGTATGAGGAGCAAGATTCTGGTCCTAAATCTTTTATCCAATTCAACCATTGATTTCATTATGCTTTGTTTCATATGAAACTCTTAATTCTCTGAACTTTTAATTGTCATATTTTTTGGCTTTAATAGACAGCTGTCAGAAAAATAATTATGACTTTTATTTACAGCTACTTCCAATCCTGTCCCAACTGAACCACCCCTGTTTAGTACATTGCTTTATTCTTTTATGCCTATAATGGGAATTGCAGTGATCATCTTGTTTTCATTCTGGATGTACCGCCACCACAAATTAGCATATCCTCCGGTCCTTGTACCAACCCAGGTAAGTTGGCTGTTTAGATTTGAATTAGATTTGTTGTATTGTAGTCACTGTTTGTTTATTATGCAGCTGTAAAATATTCTTTGAATGGAGATATAGTCTATACATATTGAAAATAAATAAATTGTGTGATACTGAAATCAACTGAAATTCCAGAGAGTGTGATTGGGGTGTTCCTCATTTAGTAATGTCTCCTGTTTGCAATACCTTAACCTCTTTCAGGTTTGGGGTGTTAGGATGTTGGAATTATATTCAGATGTACCTAGTAGAATCAGTGTTTTAGTATGGTGGACACACATTTACCTGTATGAATACACTGTAGCCAGTTTTGACGGAAATCAAATTGTTGTTGTTTTGGTTTTAAGTGTGTGAAGTTAAAACCTAGAAAATCAGTTGAAGAAAGCTTAATTTTATTAAGAATTAAGTTTGCTTAAGTCTTAATAAAATAATGCATATTTTCTTGTGAAAAGCATGAAACAGAAACCAAATGCTCCTAATTATTTGATAACTTGTTTGAAGTGGGGGGAAAAGTTGTGACAAGAAAGGTGGTGGACTTGATGGAACTGTGACTATATTCACCAATGTGTTTCCCCAGTGCTGCCACCTAGTGCATTGCTAATAGACATATTAGCTTAATTTCATCTGAATCACATCTTCATGTACAACTTCCTATTCACCTTTAATCTCTTCCTATTAATAGTTTTCTTTCTCTGCTGTTTCTGTTTCCTATGCCTTGTTGTCTGCTACCATGCTTCTGTACATGTTTATGCCTTTTTGGTAAAAAATCATATTTAAATGCCTTTTTTAAAACATTTGATTTCATGTATGAGATGCTCTGGGGAATTAACTCATCAGTGTGAATTAAGATTGTGAACAGTAGTCTAGACCAGTGGTTGCTAACCTTGGGCCCCTAAATGTTATTGAACTACAGCTCCGAGAAGCCTTCACCATTAGCTGTGCTGTCCAGGATTTCTGAATATGTTGTAGTCCAAGAACATCTGGGGACCCAAAGTTGGGAACCACTGGACTAGGCCCAAAGGTCACATCAGCACAAATTCATTTTAAAAATCCAATCTCAGTCCCCTCAGAGCCAAAACTATTTAAGCATGGCTAGTCAGTCTCTCCCCCCTCCCCGAGAGACTCTTTGGGTTGTGCAGAGGATGTATATGGAAAAAGGAAATCAGTTAATTGAGTGGAACCTTGTGGTTATGCATCATTATGAGCCAATCTTTATATGTCAGGCTTTAGGAGCAGTCAGTTCCTGGATTGCTATAGGGGACTGTTAAGAAAGCAGCTGAGGTCTTTCAACCCCACTTCATGTCTCCTTTCCATGCTCTGATTCTTGCCTCTGTGCTGCTACTCATGACTACTCCTTCTAAATAAATTGTTCATTTAAAAAAAAACTGTTGTCCGGCTAAAAATGAAAATATGAAAGCAGAATGTGACCATTACATACTATATGATAAATAGAATGTGATCGCTGCATATTAGCTGTCATTGATGTTAAATTGTTTTGCATTTAAAGAGTAGCTGAAATCCTCTTCCTAACATAAGCCAAAACATAACTGTCCATCTGTTCCTCCCTGATAAAGCGTTGCTGCTTAAGTTCTTGGGGCCACATGTGCATGCTGGCTTGGTACGTGTGTGCATCTTCCTGAGAGTTGTGGCAGTAACACTTTGCTTACCTGGGAGGAATGGACAGATAGCTACGCTTTGGCGTATGCTACGAACAGGACTCCAGATAGCTTGTTGACATTTTCACTCTGTAGTTTTACTAGCTGTTGTATAAAAATCCCAGAAGTTCCTTACTGTAAGGCAGAGGTCCCCAACTCCTGGTCCGCGACTGACTGCCGGTCTGTGGCCTGAGCCAGACTGGGCCATGGAGACAGACCTCCCCCACACATGCATTCACCCCTGCACAGCTGATTTGTGCATGCATGCTCGCTCCAGCGTGCATGTGCGAGCACCATGCCACCATTTCTGCATGTGTGGGAGTGCTGCACTGCCATTTGTGGATGCACACGTGTGAGCCCCGTGCCGCCGTTTGCGCATGTGTGTGTGTGCTCATTTGTGCATGCGCACGAGCATGGGGGGTGCTCCACCTTCCCCAGCCTGTCTGCAGGATGAAAAAGGTTGGGGGCCCCTGCTGTAAGAAACTTGCAGTAAGTCGAGCAGTACATAAATACAGTGAATAAATGAATGAATGAAAAGAAGAACAAATACTTCTCTTTTTAGACAACATCTTAAATCATTATGTGTATCAGCAATTATAGTCACCTTACTGTTTAGCTTTAACTTCAGGTTGCAAGATACAAAACAAGCTAAAAAGCACCAGCCTTAATACAGATCCCTGAGGGATCCCAGTGCTCATTTCCTTCCATTGTAGAAACTGCTTCCTTGTTCTTTCTTTCTCTTTGCTTGTTTGTTAACTAGTTTCCAATCTGTAAGAAGACTTCTCCTCTTGTCATGCGACAGCTACATTTGCTCATCAGCCTTTGGTGAGGGATCTTGACAGATGTTTTTTGGAAATCCAACTATAGAGCAGGATGACATGGCAAACCAAGGACGTGTGCAGTGGGGGCATCTAAGCAAATATCCATAGTTTGCTTATCAGGTCATCCAAAGACAGGCAGTACAGTGGTGCCCTGCCTAGCGACGATAATCCGTGCAACCAAAATTGTCGCTATACAGATTCGTCACTATGCGAAATAAAAAAGCCCATAGGAATGCATTAAAACCCATTTAATGCGTTCCTATAGGCAAAAAACTCACCTTTATGCAAAAATCCTCCATACGGCCGCCATTTTCGCTGGCTGGTAAGCGAGGAATCCGGGTGAAAACACAGCGGGCGGCCATTTTTTTTACCCAGCGGCCATTTTGGAACTGCCAATCAGCTGTTGGGAAATCATCGTTATGCAAAAATCGGTAAGCGAAACAGCTTACCGATCATCGCAAAGCGATTTTTCCCATTAGAAACATCGCAATGCGATTGCAAAAACAGTGGCAAAAAATCCATCGCTATGCAGATTCGACGTTAAATGGGGCGCCTGTTAAGCGAGGAACCACTGTATTCTGTTTTGCATCTCTTATGCCTAACATAAAATTTGACATACCCCCACTTTTGATTAATGCAGGCTAGCAAACTTTAGGTTTTACAGGACTGGTTTACTTAATGTTATGATTTCCTTTTTCCTAGTCTAAACTTGAAAACTTGCCAGTCCCTTCTTATATCTCTTGAGAGGAACCAGTACTGGATCCCAGTTTCCTCTCCTTCTATTAAGAAAGAGAGATAAGAAATAAGAGCTGGTGACAACTTTCCTGTAAAAGAGCAAAGCAAAAGGAAAGTTTGCTACTTATATACCACCTCGCCGCATAGTGCTTAAAGCACTCTCAGGGCAGTTTACAACATAATTATGCAGACTACACATTGCCCCCTCCCCTGGCTGAGTTGGGTACTCTGTTTACCAACTCAGGAGGATGGAAAGGTGAGTCAACCTAGAGCTGGCTACTTGAGCCCTTCCGGGTCAACCCAGATCGTGAGCTGAGTGTTGACTGCAGTACTGTAGTTTAACCACTGCACCACAAGGCCCTATTAAGGGAGGAGGATGAGGTGGCAGTTTTTCGCCAATATACGTTCTTCACATCTTCTCACTGTCATCTTACATGCTATATCAGAGCATGAGATATTTGGTGTGAGACAAATTTGGATCCTTCTCATTGTAATGTGAAAACCTTTGTGCACTTAGTTCTCTGTGAGAAAACTGTGCTTGAATGTGGTATTTCAGTCAAAGGATCTGCTATACATGCATTCATTTTATATAAGTTAAATCATGAGGTACTCATAATAGTAAAATTAGTGTACAGTATAGTTCGCTTCTTTGTTTGATATTTGTCTCATGCCATCTTTGGATGCTGATCCAGACAATGCTCAATAGTTAGATGTGTACTCATTAAACACTTTCACTGCCTCCCTTCCCCAATGGCATTTTGATTTTGTATCTGTTGGTTTGGAACTTAACATTAGCAACTTCGTGAAGCCTTGGCTGGAGCTAGAGCTATATAGACTAGCACATAGGACTTAATGACATCAGTATACCAAAAGTAATACCAGTAATAATCAGAGCTTGGAAGTTACTCTCTGCAAGTAATGTAGTTGCCTGCAATTAGTCAGTTTTTGTGGTAATTGATAATATATGTACTGTATACAGAGTTACTTCAGGATATAAGATGGAACACCCAGATTATTTAACTGTAATGAATAACAGTTACTATCAAAGGTACTTCAGGACATTTTAAGTCATGCTGCAGGCATTTCAGTAAGAATTTTTCAGATCTTATACCACTTCCTTATTGATCTCCTAGTTTCCCAAATGAAAGGGGAAATATTCTTTTGTTTTGTCCTTAGTATTGTAGTGAATATTTGTGTTGTATTTCTCTTTTTTATGGCCTGTTGGTAATATCAATGCACAGTGCAGTTGCCTGAGATCCTGGAACAATGGTAACAACAAATTGTGCTGAGAATCAATGGGTAACACAGTGAGTTCCTTCTACAGTGTAGTGTCCCAAGCTTAGGTAGTAACAATGTCCTGGGAGACTGGCTAAACATGTAAATTAATTTTTAAAATTATTTACATGTTTTAGAAACATAAACACTACCATTGTTCAAGGTTTCAAAATGTAGTCATATGCCATATTACCAGTTGTTCACAGTACAAATAAAGATTGTTTTCCTTACCTTCTATTGCCATATTCATACATTTTGTGTAAAACAATAAATAAAACAGAAAATAAAAATGAACATGATCAAATTATACTGTAGAATAAAATATATCATGAAAAATAAATCTTGTAGAATTATGTAATGCATGGTTAGCTATTTATTGGCAGCACTAGCTCTTATTGATCTGCTTTTGTGGAAACCTGGTTGGATGTAGCCTTTGAAGCAAAATAGAGGAAACAGGGGAGCCGATTTGTGACACATTTGTGTTGCCTAGAGGCATATT